GTACCCAAGACCTTGTCCCCGCGCAGGGCTCTCGCTCCACCTGCCCTTCCCAGGAACCACGGCTGCCTTTTATTCTTAAGGGCGAAGATGTATTGGAAATTGATTTCTGTGTTGGAAATGGGATAATTAAACTGGTTGTTTCCATCTTCATCATCGTCACCATAAAAAGGACAGCCGGGCGAGTTTGGCACGAGGTGACACCGACACCTCACGAGCGGGAGCGTTAATTGAATACAAATGGCCTTCCCTGAAGCTGCTGAGTTATATTTCAGAGATATGGGATAATGATACCATTTAATCATTTTTACAAGATATAAAATTACTGGCTCCTCTGGGAAGATTATTAAGGAAAACAATTGTTCACAGCAAATGAAGATGGAGTTTTAATTATTTAACACAGAAATTAAACCATTAGAGACCAACCTTGGATGAGGCAACTTAATAGAAATTTATATACGAGCATCTATGAACAGCTTCGTTTTATTAATCTGCCTCACTCCTTCATCCAAATCTGTCTGAAGAGCCTCTGGGCTGTGCCTGTTGAGACCCAGAGCCCCCGAGTTTCCAGGGAGGACAGCCAGGGCGTGGCTCACAGGACATCCTGGGACCTCTAGGAACCTGAGGGCGTCCAGGCCAGGCCCCCAGGCTGCAGGGGAGGGGCTGAGGCTGCCCAGTCGAGAGAGGCGGGGTGGAGTCGGGGCCGATGGGGCCTCGGGGTGCACCTGGGGCACTTGGGGATTAAGAGGATGGACTGCAGGGTGCTGGCCACACCCTTTGACCTTCCCATGGCCTTTTGGGTGGGAACTTTGAGGACTCACCTTCCAGGCCACATGTGTGTGACCCCCAGTGGGTATGGGACCGGGCGCCGACTGTGCCCACTCCCCCCAGCCCACTCTGCTGTGGCTCAAACCTGATGGGGCCCCGTCACCCCGCCCTGTCCAGAGAGGCTGCCTCCACCGGAGCAGGGAGGGGCTGAGGCTGCGTCCAGAGCTGGGGTGCCGGGAACTCACGCTCCTTTAGAGGCTGCTGGCCAGGGGCTTGCCACAGGGTAAGGGATGCTTTAAACCAGGACTTAGACGACCACCTCCAAATGGAAAAGCCGTGAGAGTTACTGAAGACACGGCACAAGCTGTCGGTGCCGGAACCGAGGCGGACGGGAACCAGAAGGAACCCCAAACGCTTCTGACTGGTGTGGCTTGGGGTGTGGGCCATGAGGAAATGCATCTTTAAAACCCTCATTCTAAACCTGTACACATTTTCAATGTGTAAACCAATAAATGGACATTTTTAGGGTGTAGAAGAACTGAGGGCACCAGATTGGGCAGCTTGTTGGGGGCACCCCTCCACCCACCTAGGGCCCGAGCAGGACAAGGCCTCGTGGGGGGGAAGCACAGGGGCAGAAAGGACGGCAGCTCCCCCAGCATGCAGTTGGGAAGCTGGGGTGGGAGGGGGGCACGGCGCCCAGTGTGGGCACAGCCAGGCTCACCTTGTGCTCCCCCGAAGGCCCAGGCCAGGTTCCTGGCCACTTTCTGGGGAGAAGACGGAGCTCATCCTCACCCGACCCCTGGCCAAGCGGGGACAGCAGTGCAGGAGTGTCCCTGCCTCCCCCCATCCTGAGTGCCCACCGGCCAGGTGAGATCTCAAGTCCCAGGCCCGGCCAACAGCACGATTTCTGTGTTGTGCTCAGGACTTGCAGGCTGAGGGCCGCGCCCCTGGAGACCACCTTCCGCCCCCCATTTTCTCCAATAAATTCCAACGCATCTGCTCCTGCCTCAGAGTTTTTAGGGTTACATAAATTTCACCTATGCAATTTTTTTTCTGCTTGAATATATTACAGAATGCCACTTCTGTTATAGAAGCTAATTGATAATGTGATTTGTTATGTTGCTGGGACATAATTCAGAAAGTTATTTTAAAGCCTTTGATGCACGGAACGGCACTCACTGTTCAATATTTCTCGCATGCGTGGACACAGCGTAGGTAAAAAATGTGGTGCTGCGCGGATGAAATATTTCCAGAAGCTTTTATTCTTGTTGTTTGGGTGAGCGCCAGCAGCTGCATAGAAGGAAGCCCATATTTCCAGCGCTGCTCTGATTTCAATTTATTTCCTGGTCATTAGTTAGCTTTTTTTTTTCCCACAAAGTGGAACAAGTGTGTGTATATACTTAGAAAAATCAAACAAAAAAGAATCACACACAACCTTTCAACATTATCAAAGGTAGACATTTAAAATTGTTATGTCAAACTAATTACAGATTCACAGGAAGTTGCAGAAACAGGGCACAGCGCCTGGTGCCCGCTCCCCGGCCTTCCCCAGCCGCGACCCTGCCCAGCTGCAGCAAACGGCGAAGCCGGGAAGTGAGGCTGGCTCTAGCTGCGGTGAGCTGCGGGCGCCGCGGGCTGTTTTCACCACGTTGTACGGGCGTTCCTTTCTCAGGTAGGGGCTGGCCTTGCTGCCACAATCAAGACCCACAACTGGTGGGTCAGCGGTGGCCCCCGGGCCGGGCACACTAACTGAGCAGCGCCAGAGCGCCACCGTGGCAAGAGGCCGTGCAAGCTGCCTGCTGCAGCCTGTGACGCTTCTGACGCTGGCTTTGTCCTCGGCCCAACTCCTGGAGGCCCGTCAGGCCGGAGCCACCGTTCCTTTGCTGCTGCTGCTGGGCAGTGTTAACTCCAAGTGGACAGAGCAGAGTTTGACCATTTGCTTGTGGACGGACATGGGGTTGCTATGAACATGCGTGCGTGCGTTTGTGTGGAAGTGCATTTCCCGCTCTCTGGGCTAAATGCCCAAAAGTGCCATTGCTGGGCTGTGGCTTTAAAGAGTCAGGCCAACTGTTTTCCAAAGGGGCTGTGGCACAGTCGCAGTGCGCGAGAGTCCGCTTATCAGCGTCTCCTCCAGCCACGTTATCTTTATTCTTTAAAAAATTCCCCATCTGGGAATCGGTATGTAGACCTATTTTGGCTCATTTTGGGGCCGCCTGTCCTGACCCAGCTGTCTTGGCTATTGCTGGCCTGGCGTAGGCACCTGGCAGGAGTTTGGGTGGGCGCTGAGCTGGGTAAGTGGCCTGCACGGGCACAGCGTGGGCAGGAGGGCCTTCAGCAGACCCTTCCCCCACACAGCGTTGTTGCCCCTGCTCCCCATCAGACACAGAGGAAACTCGGAGGTTTCCAGGCAGCCCTGACCTCACATGGCCAAGCTCCTGTTGCCCTCGGCAGGAGGGGGCTGCCCCCTGGCCTTCACATTTCGGGCCTCAGGCTGAAGAAACAGGCCCACATGGCCCCACGTGGAGGGGGCCGGAGGCCTGGATGGCACCCGAGGCTCCTGCTTCCACCCTTCAGGGCTGTCCTGAGCCTTCCCCTGGTCCTGGTCAGAGTCCATGTGCGTGGGGAGGGCCTGTCTCCAGAAAGCTCTACAGACCCCCTGGCCTCCCACAGACCAATACACCCTTCGACCCCCCCCAGCTCCCACCCATCTGCCCAAGTTGGGAGAGATATATCCAGAAATCCAGAAGGGCCATCTGGAAGGCACGTCCCTTCCCCCAGGACCCCCTGGATGCTGAAGCCCACCGGGAATGTTCACAGAAGAAAAGCATCTCTTCACGAGAAGCTCCATGTGGTGCTTGCTGACACAGACCCTGCCACCATGAGCCTCCTTGTTCTGGAAGGTTCCATCTGAGGTGCCCTGTGTGTGTGCAGGGGATGTTGCCTGGGCTGACGTGACACCCCCCCCCCAGCACACACTGGAAAGCTGCTGGGTTCAAGGGGTGCGTTTCTCATGGGCCAGCATCCCAGAAGGTGCGGGTGTCCATGGCAGCAGTGCTGAGGCTGGGCCAGAAGCACCCACCTGGAGTCACCTCGAGTCCCAGAGACCACACACAGAGACTCACAGAGACCACACACAGACACTAGAGTACTCGAGTGGCAGAGACCACACACAGACACTAGAGTAC